CGCTGTGGACGCTGGTAGACGCTGGCAGACGCTAGATCGATATCTATACTTTCCTAGTCGCTGACGCTGCCGGACGCTCGGATTGCTGGTGGACGCTGCCGCAAAGAACTAGCGCAGCATAACGCAAGCTATGCCGACGTTTTTGCGTGTCCATAAGTTCGCCATGCCAAGCCAACGTATTGTCGCGTACGCGCCTAAGGTGCGCGACGTCGCGTTATGACCTCTTACTACTCATTCATGTCCTTGGCCCCGACAGCATCTGTCTACGTGAAACTATGTAACTGCTAGTTGGCTTTAGGAAGGTTTTCAATTTTGCCATCATTTCAGGCCACATACACGCCGCTCACAGGTGGAACCTATGAACTTCACATCCTCTGGAATGGTACCCATGTTAAGGGTTCACCATTTAAGGTCACTGCTTCAATTTCTACTTGTAAATGAATATTGTCTCATGGTAATTGTAAATCAGGTTAATGCCGATACTTCATCATCACCTGCCGAATTGATTTCGGTTGATAGCACATCTCTGAAAATTGGTATCATCAACGAGGATATCAAGACGGTCATTGATACTCGACGAGCAGGGCCAGGTAAGAGAATTTTTCCCATTTTCGCCTTTTTTCCTGATAATATTGATTGATTTGATCTCAGGTCAACTGTCTGCACAATGTATGGGCCCGGTCAAGTTGGCCTATTGCGAGCTCTATGATCACAGAGATGGCACGTACACGTTGAGTGTTAGGCCAACGGAGGTCTGTATCGTGTATTCACTTGTTTTTGTAGTACTATTTATTACTTGCTGTTATTGTTTGCGATTTAAGGTTGGTAAACATACGTTGGTCATCAAGTACAACGATCAGCACGTTCGCGGTAGTCCATACCTCATCCATGTTTCCATGCCGCCTGATCCATCGAAGGTTCGCGTCTACGGACCCGGAATCGAGCATGGTATTCTCAGCTTGTAAGTTGATACTCCACCTCATAGCTGATTGATCCTATAGCTCTATCAGTTGAATGGCAGGGCTCTCAAGGCAGCGTTCAGACTTCGCGACGGCAGCGCTTCAGGTCGCGCGTTCGACGCGATCGATGCAGTCGAAAGCATGCGCATCGATCGCGCCGAGCGCGCGATTAGACTTCGCCA